AACCACTGAGTTACACTTGCTCAAACAAAAAGTGTTACTATCATCCCCGGTCTCCCCTATACCATAACTGCACATCATTAATTTTGTACTTTGGCTCGACTGTAGTTTGTGTTTTGTTCTCTGCGTGTTTCTGATCTGCAGTTAATAGGCTCATCAACCTCCATAGTGCTTATTGTCACATTGTTTGTCTCTTTCTATTCGCTATTCTTTCCTTCTCCACTTTGCCCTCACCCCAGCTGATCGAGGAAGACCGCCGTCCTCCCTGAACCTGGTTCTGCCAGAGGTTCCTTCCTGTTAAATGAGTTTTATCTTCCCACTGTCACTAAACAGGGACTTGTTGTGCCTTTTCTCTATAATACTGAAAGTCTTGCCCTTACTATGTGAAGTCCTCTGAGGCAACTTATGTTATGAGTTAGTGCTATATAAATACAACTAAACTGCAGTGAATGGAAGATTAATCCAGCATCTTATTTCATATGATGATCACTGGAGTTGCATGATAATACAAATAATCATCGCTATTACTAAAACTTAATCGAGTTTAAGTACAAAAAACATAAAATGGGAACACTCAAAATAAGCTTGACAAATTATTCTTCACTCAAATTTCACTTATTAGACTTTTCAGGATTTTTAACCCGCATCAGGTGATGAGTGGATGCAGTTTGCTCAAAAGAGCTGAAGTTCACCAAATTCTCAGCAAACTCCATCTATTGAGGAAGATGTAGCTGAAAGTTCTGGAAAAAGTTTTTGTGAAGCTAATTTGAAGAATTAATATTTATAAGCACGAATTCCAGAGTTACACTGAGTGTGTAAGAGTGATTGTGTCTTTCAGCATTTCATACAAATGGTTAAAGAAATGAAAAGAGATTAATTTATAATTTATTCAGAAATAATATTGGAAAAAGAACTGGTCCCTCTTACAGGAATGGAGCCCCAGTAAAACTGAGTTAAAGTTGCAATTGCATATAATGTGATAAAGTTACAAAACAGACGTTAAAAAAAATACACATATTTACCTTTTAAATGAGCCCAGCCTTTAGACTGTGGGCTCCTCTTTCAGGGGACAGAATTGCAGTGCGCACACACTTCCTGATGGAGCTGCTACTGCGAAGAATAAAAAAACACTCCTAGCAAGCCAGCTAGACGAGTTGTGAAAAAAAGTTATGTCTGGCTGTCAAGTGGATAGAGACAGACTATTTCTAAAAATGGACGTTATTCCTCGGTTTTCCGTACATGAAAAGTAGAAAATCTCCCCATGTCCACAGAGCCGGCACTGGTGACGACTCAACTGCGAAGGGTTGGATTGCTGAAGCTAAAAAGTCCCGGTAGCTAGCGTTAGCAAGCAGGCCAGCCAGCTAACGTAAGCTGGCTAGCTAATACACCGTTAGGCCTTGTTTTTACTGACGCTTGTGGTGCGGTAATGTTAAATTGTGCTCTACACTGACGCGTAATGCTTGTAACTTAGCTTTAGGCGTGCTAAAAGCTAACTTTGAACACTTAGGACTCAGGGCAGCTACAGTTAGCATTGCTAGTTAAGCTACGCGGCTAGCCAGCTGGTTGACTGCATCACAGTAGTCTGTGGTAGTAGCTGACAGGAGGCTAACGTTGTGCCGTTTACCTCGTTTGACAGCTCGCTAGAGAATGTGAGACTAACCGTGTTGCTGTTTTTTTACGTAAATAACCTATTTACTATGCTAATTTGACTCGTCCTTTATTAATGACATGCGAGTTACACAATTGTGCCATTATGACAGATGTCTTGTTGCATGTCTGCGCATCCCTGTTCTGAATTTAGCTGTAATTATATGTTACCATTGACATTATTTCTGTAATTTGCTTTTTTTTTTTCTCCCTCCCCAGTAAGTTACTAGCTGACGTTAGCTAGTAATGTCTCTGACGTTACCATCCGCCGACATGCTTGAAACACCACCTGGGTATCCATTTGAAGAAATTAACTATGAGGATATTGAAGTTGAGGAGGTAGGCTGTGTTTGTTTTTGTGGCCTCTGAATGTACACGAAACTTGTATTTAGTTGGTAGTAACCCTCTTGCTAACTGTCCCATTTTCAGGTGGTGGGGAGAGGAGCTTTTGGGGTTGTTTGCAAAGCCAAATGGAAAGGCAAAGATGTTGCAATCAAGACCATTGAGAGCGAATCAGAGAGGAAAGCCTTTATTGTTGAGGTATTGTTGTTTTCAACTTCTGCAGCATGCGAAGTCGACACAATCATAAGCTAAAAGTTAATATCAGCGTTTTAAGTGTTCAATTTCGTATCAATGCCATCAGTAGTGGTGGAGCAGAGTACCTTTAATGACAGACTTGGTGATACATTTTGCATATTTGAGATGCTGAGCAGTGTACTACAAAGCAAGGTTTATGGGTTAGCAAGATGTTGAGCCTCAAGACAGAGCATTCAGCGTTAACAAAGGTGGTTGTTGTTTATCCTGGTTATGTTTCAGATTTAAATCAGCTTGAAAAAGGGCCACTCTTTTACCCTTTTTCTACAATATTCTCCCTGAGTGATTTAGATTCTTAGCTAAAGAAGTATATTATATCTGCAAACCTGTTGAGTTGTATGTTGGTAATGCCGCTGAATGAAGCTGTGCAGTTGGCAAACTGTATATGTCGCATTGCCTCCGTAATGTATATGCATTCAGCTGATAATCCAGAAACTGCATAAATATGTTTTCGTGTTTAGTCCTGGTTTGTTGCTAACTTTGTTTTATACTGCTGGTATTGCAGCTGATACAACACAGATTAGAGAATTGAATAATCTTTTGGTGTTTATTACAGAAAATATTCAATTAATAACATTAATGGCGCTTTGATCTGGCCATACATTATAGTGACCCTTCTTTATGGGTCAGTGTTGAGCCAAAATGCACTTGTTGAGTATCCTGTTTGAATGTATAAAGTTTAAACACTCTAATGTGCAGTTGTCACTTTAGAAATAAGTGGCTGCATTGAGAGTGCAGTGAGTGGTAAAATACATGTATTTGCTCAAAGAAATAACAATTTTCCACCAGTATTCCTCCCTCGCATCATTTGCGGTAACAGTGCTTTTACTTTAATTCATTTTTATATCCGACACAGCTCTTCTTTATAACAGCTTGTTACTCTTGACTGAAGTAGGTGGTGCATGATCGTTCTGTTTTGTGCAAAGAATACTCAAATGAGCCTTCAAATGCCCCCCATTATGTGAGCGCACACAGAGCCTGACAAGGAAAACCGAGGCTATCAGCGAAAGTTGATAACCACTGTTGTGGTACCTATTATCTTTGATTAGGATTTTAGGTTTTGTCAAGCAGGTAACACAAAGAAAACTTAGCTATGTCGTCTGTGCTTTGTAGTACATCCCTCTAAACAGCATGCATGCAGATGGAATTGTGTGTAATATTTCCTCTTTGTCTCCAGCTCCGACAGCTTTCACGTGTGAATCACCCTAATATTGTGAAGCTGTATGGCTCGTGCAATAGTCCTGTAAGTCAACTGAAATGCTATATGTTACACTTATAAAATACTTGTAATGTCTGTCTGGTTGATTCTGGGAGTTTTTGCTGATTTTCTTTCTCACTCAGGTCTGCCTTGTGATGGAATATGCTGAAGGCGGATCATTGTACAATGGTGAGTCCACACAATGTGCTAGAAAACAGCACTTGTTTTATCACTGATGACGGCATTCGTTCCACTTTTCTAGTGGTGAAATGAGCACAGCCTTGCACAGACATGAGAAGCAACCCTGTTGAGTTGACCCTCCCACTGTTTGCATGTTCAGCCACTTGTCTGACTCCTTTACAAACTAGTCTTTGCATAGTGATATGTAGTACAGCCTTGTTTGTCCCTGCAATAAATATTAAAGTGGACCTTTGAAGTAGTGAGGTGTAATATACAGTAGTATCGTCTTGACAGAAATAAGCATCACAAAGCCTCAGACCATTATTTTTAATATTGTCAATAAGTAGGGGTTACATTAGTGAAAGATGACTCTGATTTAATGGATGTGGACCGCTAGAGTTGACCACATTTACCAATAAATAATCACGTTTTTTACTCACAGTTTCTCTATCAGTTAACAATTTGTGCTTTGCTGCTCCCAATTGAAAGATAATCCTGTTTACTGCAAATTTAATTTTGTTATCAAAGATTAGACAGTTTTTGCTTTTGTGGAATTTAAGATTGTATTTCTAGAGAAAGTTGTTGGGCTCTGAACACAGCTAAAAAGCAGTCAGACATTCTGTAGGTTTTAAACAGACCTCAGGGAAGCCAAAGCCAAAAGAAGAAAAAAAGAAATGTAGAGATAAACTTTTAATCATCAAACTATTTCCCATAAACATCCGACAACCTGCATCAGCTTTGACCTGTCATTGATACAGCGAGGGATTATTATCAACATTTAGTGTTTACCCCCCAAACACAGTGATTTTGATAATCTGGCTTATCTGTTTACCTGTTTAACCTGTCTGATTGTCCAACATTTTGGCATAGCAATGGTGCTAAAATTTCAGCAAGTAGTTTGGAAAAAGCTGTCTATTATTGCAAACAGTAGACTCAAGTTATATTAAATTGGAGTTTTAATTACTTAAATACTACTGTTTATGCATGCAGTTCGAGCCTTCTCAACTCTGACAGAATCATTGCAGATAATTAAAGTATGCGAGAGTGTTTCTACTTTCATTAGGCTTTCTCAACACGTCAGTGATTGGTACAACTTTTATTTACAAGTGATTCAGATTGGAAATTTTTAGTTTAACAGAAAGTGGATTCCAATAATACAGGGCTTTGCTGTCCTTCACACTTCACAATTACCTCTTCTCTCTAATCTCTCTCTGAAAGTTACTGAAAAAAAGTTGCTTTTGGGAGCGAGAGTTTGATATCATCACTTTTATTGGTCTCAGTTAACAATTCTGAAATTAACTGGAAGGTAGTTACCCCTATGTGTTAGGCTAGTGTGTGTGTGTGTGTGAGTGTTTCTGTGTGTTTGACAGTGCCATGTATCACGACAGGGCCCAGCTTTTTGCTTGGTTCCTCCGGAGGTCTGTCGTCTGTGGTGGTGTAGTTTGTGACTGTGTTCTCTTGTCCACAGTGCTGCATGGTGCTGAACCCCTCCCCTATTACACTGCTTCCCATGCCATGAGCTGGTGTTTACAGTGTTCCCAGGGCGTGGCCTATCTCCATGGCATGAAACCAAAGGCTCTCATTCACAGGGACCTCAAGCCACCCAAGTATGCTCCTCCTCACCTCACACACTCCTGTCTCCCGTTTCATTTTGCCAACCAAGTGCCTTATTGTTTTAAACTAGTTTGATTTATGTACTGCACTTTTTTTTTACTGGTCACACTATTTTCTGTTATTGAGCAGAAGTGTACAGGATTCTCCCCATAGCATCACAAGCTTCCTGGTCAGACACATGTAGTTTCTTTTACGTGTTTTCACTTAAAGTCTTTATATGGAGTTATTGCATCTTGGATGGAGTGTTTAGGTGTGCAGAGGTGTCAGCGTAAGATGATAGATACTAGATAATGATGATAATATTTGAAATGTTGTTTCAAGATACGATGAGACATTTTAAAGAGCTAATTACATGTGTGCAATACTATGAGCAACCGCTTTTCCTGTGTTTTAAGGGAGTTCCTGTAATGTTTCTGTCTCTGTCTCAATTTCTCAGTTTCTTTCACAAGCCCAAATACTACTGCTTCTGTTTTATGATTACAAAAACAAGCAAAACCTTGAAATACAGTTTATAATGCCCAGAGGAGCCAAAGCATAACAGATGAATCAATATTTGGATCATCAACACGCTAAATGTGAGGGGAAAAAGGCAGGTGTAGATGTCTTTTACAAGAGCCATATCGCTATGGTTAAATGACTGGATCAACTTCTGGGCAGCAGCAGCGAGTACCTGCTGATAGCAGAGACCGTGATGTGACCACAGGGTGTTTGTGGATGTGCTGGAAAAATTCTGACCTGCAGCAGCTCTTTAAAAAAAAAAAAAAATCTCCAGGACTTAAAGGATCTGTTAATAACATCTTGGTGCCAGATACCACAGGGCATCTTCAGAGGTCTTGTAGAGTCCAGGCCCCATTGGGTCAGAGCAGTTTTAATGGCACACAGGGGAACAAAAGCATATTAGGAAGGGGGGCGGGGGGGCTCATAATGTTTTGGCTTATCAGTGTGTATAAATAGATTATATGAAGGGGTTTAGCAAGTCAGACACAGCAATGTTTTAAGATGTCAGCATTCTTTCAGATGCAGTAACTGTTGGTAAGCATGTAGTAGTGAGTCAAGTATAGATTCTTTTCCATTTACCGGTACTTAATATTGATAAACAGTTGTCAGAGTTTTGAGGCTGGTTTAGACCAACACATCCTCTTCATAAATCTTTTTGACAATGATTTTTATTTGTTTGCTGCTTTTTTGTTACAATCCCACAGGTATACAATTCTTCCTCACAGGGTTAGAGATTGCTGTGAAGGGTTCTGTCATCTGGATTGTATTATCTCAAAAGTACCTGGAGCAACATGTAGTCCTTTTTTTTTTTCTTTTTTTTTTTTTAATCCGTCTGACCCTGACAAAGCATTTTGAAGGATGTTTTGATCTCAGGTGTTGTTTACCCTGGTGTGGTGGAAAGAAAAGCTCCTGGCAGTATTCTCTGGGAATGACCAGCTGGTCTGTTTCCTAGAGAACTGTTGTGGAGTTTCTAAGAATAACAATGGCACATACTGTGACAATTGTTAACTCTCCATTATTGCATAGGAATTTATTTCATTTAACGTGTTTTAGATCATATCTTTTATCCTTTGTCAAGCTCAAGCAGTCTGAAAAAGACAAAAGGAGCCACAAGTCAAAATGCTTAGCAAGTTCTGTGTTACCATGTACATGGTACCTGTAGCTTAACAGCACCGTTTTTCTGCTTGAATAAGTCTCAAAGCTTTAGGTTTGATATTGCTAATTAAGTTCAAAGCACTGTTGGCTTCTAACGGGGCTTCTGTCTTTCTTTTGTTGTTGCAGTCTGCTTCTAGTGGCTGGAGGCACCGTGCTGAAGATATGTGACTTTGGAACAGCATGTGACATTCAGACCCACATGACCAACAACAAAGGAAGTGCAGCATGGATGGCCCCAGAAGTATTTGAAGGCAAGTATGAGAGGCATTTCAGCCATTTGGAGAGGTTTGGATAACTGTCATGTCAGCTGATTTTTTTAACCAAACTTATCACGCCAAACTTCTGTAAGTCCTCAGTTTACCCATTTATATACATTCTTTCTTGCACCCAACTTTGCTTTGCCACCTTTCACCTTAATTGCAGCTTAGCGCTCCCAGCATGTAGGCATTAATTCTTGATTCATCATCAGCCGCCGTGCTCTTCTGCTTTATTGATGGTAGTCGCCCAAGCATGGTGAGAAGATAAATGGAGTGATGCTAGTGGCTTTATTTCCCCTGGGAGACTACCGTGTAGAAATTTGTGTTCTCATTCAGCCAGGAGCCTAATGTATCTCTACATGATGAGATATGTTCTTGGCGAGGGGGTCAGGAGGAAAGATGAATTAATGCCTAGTCATTATCTTGTTTTTGGAGGCAAGTTACAAGACTCCAGTGCAATTAAACAACTCACTTTGCCCTCTCGATGAACTCTCCGCAACTAATTTGCATCAGTGTGAAACACTATCAGAACGCCCCGGCACAGCAACTTTAAAATAGGTGTGTGATGTGCACTTTAATTCTGCAATAACAGGCCGAGTAATTAAGCAACACAGGAGCTGTTCCTTGGTAAAAATTGCTCCCTTATTTTCACTCTCCTCCCCTCTGAAAGCAGAAATGAGATAAAAGCTGCTGTGCTTTCCCAGGCACATCCTTTGCTCTCATCTCAAATGTGCCACAGAGAATTGCCTTTATCAGTCAGTCAGTGATGTCAAGCTGAGCCTTTTTTTTTCTTGTTTGAAAAGGACCTAAGTGTTGCTGTGGTTTCCTCTGTACTTGCAGGCAGCAATTACAGCGAGAAGTGTGATGTGTTCAGCTGGGGGATCATTCTCTGGGAGGTGATCACTCGCAGGAAGCCCTTTGATGAAATTGGAGGACCGGCTTTTCGCATTATGTGGGCTGTGCACAACGGTGAGTCACAGTCTGGGTGTGTGCGCGTGTTCGGGGGCGGGAATGCAAAGGCCACGTCCAGCTGTCAGCTGCTGTGAGTCCTGAGACGTGTCTGCTCAGCTAGGCCTGCTGGGAGACTGTCAAAGTAAGGAGTCTGGCAGAGAACAGCTAAAAGACATGTTGACCTGTGCAGCGCTCCCTGCAGTTCATTCCAATGCAGAGATTGATGGAGGAGAATGCTAATGGGACACTAATAATACCAGGGGACAAGTTTAATATTTTTCACCGCTGAATCTTCCTGCTTGAGTCATTACTGACTCAAGCAACAGGAGGCAGGGGGTTTGGAATAAATTTGCAATATTTCTTTTTCTTGTCCTGTGTGATGCCAAAAGTTATTTGTCCCTTTGACTGTGCATGAGCAATTACTTCATTTTCATTTTTTTCATTAAGGCACAAGACCGCCTTTAATCAAGAATTTGCCCAAGCCCATTGAGAGTCTGATGACTCGCTGCTGGTCTAAAGACCCCTCTCAGAGGCCTTCCATGGAGGAGATAGTGAAGATCATGACTCATCTAATGAAGGTGATCTGTTGTCTCATGCTGCTTACCATCTGTGTAAGGCTTTTATTAAACTATAGTGGAGGAATCAATAAGCATGACCCTCCAGGGCTTCTCCATTGCTTCCAGTTGGAGAAGTTCTCAACTGATACTTTTGTTAGTTACCTTTAACATACAAATATTTTTGTGTGTAAAATGTGTTTAGAAAAAAAAAAATATATATATATACATACACACACATTATGTTTTCCTTTTAAAATATTGATGCATTAATGTAGTATTACAGCAACACACACATTCAAACAGGCCAAATTGTGGTGAAAAAAATTACAACAGTGAAGAGGTGTGTCCCTGACCCTAGAGGGGTAAATCACAGAGTAGAATGTATGCCATAGCTAAAGTTTTAAATATAGTCATATTTGAGCTACAGTCATGACTTGACATTCCGACCCTTAACAATCCGCAAACCTTGCTATCACACAGGTTTTTAGGAAAAACAAACGGACCCGATAAAAAGTAGCCTTAACATACCAACAGCCTTGAATTCTGACATGACATTTTATGTCACAAATATGGATAACCGCGTATTATCTGACTTAACAATTCGACAGATTGGCTACGTTCAGACTTCATGACTTAATGCTCAATTTGGATTTTTTTTGTGAAATCCAAATTTTTGCGAGTTCGTTCACGTTTCCAGTTAAAGGTGACTTGTATGTTGTCTCCTGTGTGAACTTCGTATGGCCCAAAAGTGTCCCGCATTTGCAGAAGAGGACATAACAATGTCACACGCAGCGAGCGTGCTCAGTGTTTACAGAAGTAAACTCTGATGGTAATGGCGGAGCGTATCTGCCACTCCCCCACCGTCACCACCGATGGTTGAAACAGAAGTGTGACCACTTTCCTAAACTGACATCAGCAGCCAAAGTACTGCCTGTGCATTTCAGCCACTTCCACCCCGTTGGAGCACACCCCCAGGGTGCCGAATTTTCGTATATTCATCAGTAATTGGGCTCGAATATCAAGAGCCCAGAAAGTGCTATTCGGACCAGCCCTACTAGTTATTATGACAACTATGAACAATGAATATTAACAACAAATGACCCTTCAAGCATCAAGCCCTCCTTGTATCTCGACCTTCGTCTTGACAATCCGACAGCCTTGCTATCTGACATAAAAGAATGTATTATATTTAGTGTCCGACTATCAGGTCATGACTGTATTTACCAATTATTAAGGTATGTCATTAATAAATATTGAAGATTTGAGTTCAGCAAATCACCACCTAAATTGAACTCAAAATATAGCCAAAGCTCAGGAGGAATGTTTTCAATTTCTTTTTGCAGTACTTCCCAGGATTTGATGAACCCCTGCAATATCCGTACCAGTATTCAGACGACGGACAGAGCAACTCTGCCACCAGTACAGGTACAGGACTCGTCTTCACAATTTAAACACGACATTCATGTTACTTCACAAGTACCGTGACTGGTCCTCAGCACACCACGATGAAATGGTTCTCAATATGTTTGAAACTGCTGCTTATAATTTTTTTGTCAGCAGAACTATTTTGTGGGAAAATCTTTCACGTGTGCTTTTTTTTCTTCTTCTAACCCTTCTACCAGCCACGATTTGTTTGCTATTTGGAAACAAAAATGTCAGTTATTTTCCTTCAGTAAAACAAGTAACACTGATTTCCTGGTAGTTTCACACCATGTTGAAATAGAAGGCATAGCATGAGGGGCGTGTTAGCGAAACAGCACAGCAGCTCTGGCGCTCCCTGGGTGTCGACACATGGAGTCGTTTAGAAAGCGCTCAGAGCCAAGTTCACCTGCTGTTTTGCTTCATGTAGGTGTAGCAGCGCAAAGCAGAATATAAACTGGAGGGTGTGTTGGTTGATAAATACACTCTGCCAGTCACATTACAGCCTCACCTCTCTGAAACAAGCTGTGCCTGTCACAAACAATGATAACAAATGGAGAAAGAGAGTCTCATTGCTAAGAAAGGTGGGGCCTTGGTTTGTTCACTGTTGTTTTTTTCAAATTTGAAAAAATATGTCCATATAACTAATTCAAGAAATTTGAAATGACATCAAACCACATGGAGACAGTTTTTATTTTTTGCTGTGCTGTTGGTGGCACTTTTGCTGTCTCTGAATTACAATCAATTAAATGATTTTACAGGAGACAGAAATTCATTATACCAAAATGCTGGGATTTTATTAAGCTCCATTACATGCACTGAATCAGGAAAAACTGTTGGAACTTTTCAGTTCTTTTCAAATTTCTACACTTGTCTCTCTACATTGTTGAACTTTTTTACATGTATTTTGGGGTAGTTTTCAGTGTTGTGAAACATAAAAAACAGCCAATAATCCAAAAAATAATCCACAAAATTGAGATCAAACTTTAAGAAATTCACCACAATTCAGAATGTGTAAACCTGACTCCTGTCCTGTGTCTTGGGAATTGACAGGTTCATATGTGGACTACACCAGCACAAGCAACAAAAGTGACGCGAACATGGAGCACAGCGATTCTCAAGGGAGCAACGACACTATCAAGATTACGCCTCAGTTTCCACCTCACTTCAAGCCAAAGGTAGGGCCATTTTCATAGAGGAACTACACCACAGGTACTCAGCAGTGAGTGTGTTTACATGGATGTGAATATTTCTGTTATGAGTCTTATTCAGGTTTTAATTAAATTGGGGATAGGAGGTTTACATAGAGCACAGAACACTGGTTCTGCAAATCCCTGTATGCATGACAAGTACTAATATCGCAGTTATTACAGATTGCTGCAGGCTGTCTGTTCAGTCATAATATTACATCATCACTCGCTTGCAAGTGTCTGACCTGACAGTGGTCATGTTTCACTATTTTCACATGGTTTTCCACTATTTGCAACCCACTCTGTTGTTATGGTTTTATGTCACAAACTGTTGATAAGAGAAGTTGAACCGAAAAATTCTGCTTCTTTATCCGTCAAATAAGAACGCAAATTTTGATACCATCACTCGTCCACATCAATAACATTAGTCTATTAAACAAATTACTGATATTTTATTTATGTACAACACCAGTTGACAGTTGCTTCTAAGATGTTACACAGAAGCCTGCCGCCAGACAGCAGCCCCTCTCTCCCCATGGATGTTATAAACCTGCAACATGTTAAAACATCGGGGTTTGGCAATATTTTAATGTAGAAAATAAGGTTATATGTAGACTATAATAAAAATAATAATAAACTAACATATAACCACTCAACTGGCGCATTTTGTGATTGTATTCAGACCAGGCACATAGATGTCAATTTGCAAAGAAAAATGACTACATCCAGGGAGGAAAACCAGTGTTTCCTGACTTTTAGACAGGCCAATTAGTCTAAATTAAGTTTTTTTGTTTGATCAACAGGGAAACTAGTTGCTATTAACTTCTCCTACCCTTGTCTGTGTTTCTGTTACATCATTTGGATGAAGTGGCACAAGCACGGGTAGCAGAATTCAGAAACCTGTGCATGCAAGACTGTGCAGCTTTTTTCAAAAATGTAATCATGACTGGGATTCCATGTCTGTTTCAACACTCGCTGGTTCCTCAAGGGCCTTACATGTGCTTCTTGTGACTGTCAGAGCTCTACCTGGAATCCTGTCTTCCCAGCAGGGACACAAAGAGATGGACACAGCGTCTCATAGCTGTTAGCTTTTGTTATCAGCTCTACGTGTCTCCAACCATCACCCTCGAGTCCCACACCACGTTGTCATGGTGTGTCGCTTTCTACAGTTGTTACTCCCTTACTTCTGCTGCAGTGTCAAAATGCGCTGGGAGTTAGGCTTCAAACTGATTTTGAGGATGTATTTCCGTTCAGTTTCCAGGGACTTTCACATTGATCAGAGCCACTGAAAGTTTGTAGTAGTGGTTTTACAGTAGATGAAATGATAGAAAACTGATACTTGAAATGGGTTTCAAAGTTTTCTTTTTCTTATTTCAGGGAGACCCATTGAGGACTCTGCCTCTGTCCAGAGGTGGCAGCGTTGAGAGTCTGCCAGCACGAACACAGTGCCTGGCATCCTCTGACAGCAAAAGAATGAGCGCTGATCTTTCAGAGCTGGAACCCAAGATGCCATTTGCACCTTCAGGTAATACCAAGCATTACAGAACACAAAGTAACACATGGGAAGCAGAAAGAGAAGCTTATCAAGGCATATTGGCATGATCATTAGATTTATTTTTTTTATTATTATTTTTTACTTCATATTTAAAAAGAAAAGTTGTACAGGAAAGGCATGATGTGTCAGTGTTGGGTCAAATCTTGCTGGAATGATGCCTCTCCAAGTCCACGGGAAGCAGCTCTCCTGGCACCTGAGTCAGTTTTTTCATGTGATTTCGTCACTTTGAGTTGAAGATTGATTCCTCATATAAATACATCCATATGCCCCTGAACACTGAGGCCTGTCAGAACCAGCTGTCAGCCATTTCTCCTCCTTTAAAAGACGGAAAGCATTGGACGCTCTACTGCCGTCATGATGAAATTCAACCTCAGGAGCTCCCCACATGTAGTTTTGATTTAAATTTGAGTGTCTGTCAGGTTTTTTTTTATTTTTTTGTACTTGTTCAGACTTTGATGTAGCTTTATTGAATACAGTTTCTGTGATTGAAGCATCAACACCCTCTGTCCTCAAATTGCCTTGTTGAACTTCATGTCCAAACAGCATTGAAGCTGAATGCGTGCTGGTATTTGTGCTGAGAAATGTAGCGCAGTGGCTGCCGTCAGTCTACGCAGTGTTTGCTGCATAGCTCCTGGAATGGACGGGGTGCATGTTTCCCTTGCACGTACACTGTATGCTCTGCATGTGTGTGGCCCACATTTCGAGTCCAGCTGTGGGCCCCCAGTCTGTCATAGTCTGCATGCTTGTTGTGTACGCAGCTGTATGTGTGTGTATGTGTGTTTTTGCAGCGCAACCCCAGTATAAGCGAGGGCACCGTAAAACTGCATCATTCGGAACCATTCTGGATGTCCCCAAGATCGTCGTCACAGGTATCACTGGACCACAGGGCTTCCTGGTGATCGGGTGGAGCTGGCTTGGCTGAGCCCGTGGGTTGCTGTCCTCTGACATGGCTCTCTCCTGTGTGGCACTCCATATGATACTCCTCACAGGAATGCAGACAATGTTCATTCCTGTTAAATTTTAAATTGGATGTGTAGCCGGGGGCAGTCGCTATTTAAAAAACAGAACGTAATTGCACTGGTCCTGGAGTAACACACATCAGAGTTGCCTCATGTCTCTTTATTTTCTGTGATTTTTAGTTGGCAAGCCCAGAACATGAGTTAATATTGGAGCTTTCTCATCTGTTATCACCTTTGTTACCCAGTGTCTATTATTGAGTTAATATTCCTCGAAGGTCGATACCACGTTTGTATCACCTAAAAGCAAACAGTTAACAATCAGGCACATTGCAGCAGCTCAATTGAAACAGATGAGATAACTTTCCTAACTCATGGCCCTGTCCTCTTTGTCATCTACCTGGCTTGGCTACAGCAGATCATGGGTAGCAGGAGTAAATCAGCACACCAGTTCTCTACATTTGAGCTTGTCCTTGCCTTTCATGCATAGAGGACATTGAGAAAGCATGGCTATTTTTTTTTTCTCTCCTCTGTCGCTCTCTTTACATCCATTAACTTTGAAAAAGTCATTTTGATTAATTTCCCTCACATTGAGGGTCAGAGCTATTATTACAAGCAGAGATACGGATGAAAGGAATGGGGACAGCTCTGGATGTCAGAAAAGGCTTCTATTTTGAAGCCGTATGAGACCCATTGAATGAGTGGCTAATTTAATCCAGTGACTAAGGGAGTCAGCTGGTGCATGTTATTAAAGGTATGGCACTTATCATTGCATGAGCACACCTGGACAGAGGACCTTTTACACATAATTCCCTAGTGACTACTGGTGAGGGGTGTAGCAGTTTACGGTAACCATGGCTTGGTAGGTATCGCAGTAATTTGTCCAAAGTGCGATACGTTTTTCGGCACAGCAGGAAAACAAAAGAAACTGAAAGATTTAAATTTGGCTAGGTGTTGAGAGCAGCTGCTTGGTTAGTGTATATTTCCTGGACAACTGCAGCCTGCACATAACAAAGCAGAGACATGCTTTAGCCCATTTCACTCTTCCCTGTCCGCTGTCTCTGTGACATTCTGGGAGACCAAGTTTCCTGACTACACTCATTGAACACTTTATTAGAAAGGTCTCTGAAATTTAAACAAAGCTTATCCATTTTCAGTGTTTGTTGACGGTGATAATAAGGTCATAATTCTACCGTATGTTTGTTATTGAGCTCGAAGTGGGTTGTGGTGCACTTAATTATATTGAAAAGTGTACCCAATATTCAGCCGCCCTGGTGTAGGTGGAGTTATCATCTTTCTGACATTATCAAGAAAAACTGAAATTGTACAAGCTTTTTTTTTAGCAGAATTTACAGCAGAGCTGTTCTATTGATTTGCACAGATATTCCTAATACACTGCTTGATGATCTGCGTTCCTCATAACATCAACATTCCCTGTATGTGTTGATCTATTAATGGACGATTCAAATCAGGATGATCGAACAAATATTCCGTTTAATTCAATGAATGTTATTTGACCCTCAATTTTAGGATGGTGAATTTGCAACTACGAATCGCATAACTCATTTAACGATGTATAAAATAATTTTAAAAATGCAAATATCACAATGTTGACAGGTGTAAAAACACAAGGATTAATGGCCAGTCCGTTGCTGGCCAAACACACAATGGGACATTATGTCAAAAAGTGCAAGGTGCAATTTATCAGTGTATACGTATGCATAATTTGTTTGCACGGCCAAACCTTTTCTGTTAGATTTCACAGTTCAGAATTTATGTTCCCTACATACTAGACATAGACTAATGTAGGGTTCACTGGGCTACATTAGTTCATCATATTTAACAAAGTCACATTCTGAATAAAATGTTTTTCAGGAAACAAAGGTACCGATACACCCCTGCTGCTTAATCAAGAAAAAAGGAAAATAATGCCTGCCTTGCGAGTCTTTAAATGACATCTAAATTTGTTGCTTATTTGAGTTTATGTGAGCTGCACATACCTAGTTTTTAAAGTTTCAGTTCAGTTTTATGACAATGACAGGGACAGAAAGTAAAGATCCATGTGCTTTGTGTTCCTTTCTGACTGCTTGTTTGTTTATATGCGTGTCTCCCTTCGTGTTTTGTGGCCTTGTTGCGCTCTAGACAAAGCTTGTAGTCAGCCTAGACCAGATAAACCCAGCCATCTGTGTTAGTTTTGAAATGTGAGTGGTGTGAAACAATCAGCTCGATCAACTCCATGTCATGTAAAGTTTGGGAAATGCACACACTAGAAATGGAAAAAGAGAAATGTGTGCGACCCCAGTACATGACTTGATTTTGCTTATTGCTGTTCTGTGAAACTTGGGAAAACTGATTTCAGTAATCTTTTTTGATATTGTGCTTATTCTTTGATGACTCTTTGGTCATTATTGTAAGGAAAGGCTTCATTAACACTGCAAAATCAGACTTTTTGCCCACACCAGGTTTTCACTAAACAGGAATTATATGCTGTGTGATTTGTTTCGCGTTTCGAGTGACACAGTGCAGTCAGCAGTCCCGGTAACGAACCACAATCCTGCTCAAAGCGAATCAAAGTATTCAAATCCTGTGACGACAGTCAAGTCTGCAAAATGCACAATAATTTGAACTGTATTATTTTTAACACAAGAAAAAGTATTGATTTATGAAATTACTTGAAAACACATATATAAAAACTATTCAGATAGTTTATCTGATACCTTAAGTTACACTCAGGTTGATTGAGTTGGTATTATCTTTTACCTGCAGTTGCTTCACAGGTGAGAACCCAAAGATGGTAGTTTCAACGTGCTGTCACTCTGAGCAGCAGACGAATGAGTGATGACCGGGGAGAGCAGAACCCATCGGCTTGCGCCAAACCCAAACCCGCCAGTTTAGTGCACACTCGTCATATAAGCAGGCCCTGCAGCTGACGTGGATAGGTTTGGTCTGTGGTGTTGTGTGTATGTTTGTTGTGTACTATCAGTGAGGCCGGGCGCTTCTAGGCCTGCGGTCACGTTCCAGCGGCGCCACAGAACATGTTGACAGGCCAGGACAAAGAGGGCTAAATCAGTGCAGCTGTCCCCCGTGTGGCTCTGTGGGTCTGGATCTACCTCAAGCCACAAGCAAACATGGGAATCAGTCCCCCCACCACCTCTACCCCAAACTCCTCTGGGTCTCATTCTTTCTCCTGTCTGTCCTTTGTCCCTTGACCCCGTCCACAGCCACATGCGAGCCTCAGAGACGTCGGTCCGTGCAGGATCTGCCAGGCATCGGCACAGAGTCCAGCCAGGTAAGACATACAATTAATGAATTGCATATAGACCTAACTTTAGTTGCTTTTTTATCCTGAAAGACAGCAGGTCGTTTTCATAGTTTTTAGATTCTTCTATGAATGTAGTGAGAATACAGAAATATTAAATCAGCCCATTTCAAATCTGTTTGCACACTTTTCACCATCACTGTTCTGTTATTGACAGTTTCATCAACGCTGCATTCGTCATCACTATGGCAGCAATCTAATTGATTCACACCTCCTCAAATTATATGTCCTTGTGCTATGGCTGCTAAGGAGGTACCACGTGGGGACCACTCAAACTGTAATTGGACCTTTTGGGTTCCTCATTTTTTTGCCTTCTATTTTCTGATGGCGATTGCTGATTTCACACAGTATTACATTAAAGTGGACAAAAGGATGCATCTGGAAACAGTGGCATACTTTCTACTTGGTGCAGACACGCCTTCAATCACAGTGAATGAAAAGAGCGATCACATAACAACTACTGAGACAAGATCAATAAAAGCCATGAATGTTGCCCTTTGTGATTTCTGTCACAAACTTAATGAAAGAATGTGACCATTGTCACTGTTGCACATCTTGTTTCCAAGTTTTTTCAATTTTTGTAAAATTCTCGCATAGAAATTCACCTTTAGATTTTTTTTTTCCTTTTTTTTTCATTATTTATAGCACTATAACTTGGTTATACTGCACATAAGACATGTTTGATTTATATGTACTTGCTAGCTATGAATGTGCCGGTTCCATAGAGGTTCAGGGCTTTATATTACAGTGAAAAATGAGTCCATGGTGAGTAAAAATGTGACAGGAGCAAACAAGTGCACAGGAACTGCTCGTGGCTCAGAGGGTTAATACATGATGTATGATACAGCTGTCTAGGATTATGATGATATCATCAATGTATTAAATCCTTTGCTAAAATTTAAATCTAAATCTAGACTGTATCTTTAACACGACTGACCTTAATCCTTTACATTAGATACAAAACGGCCATTAAAGTCAGACAATAGCTGTGACACCACACAAAAAGAGTGTGACAGGCTTTTGAACAAGTGAAGAAGAAAGAACATTTAGCATAATTTGCAGGTTAGATGGCTAATTAGTAAGTCAGACTGGCACACAGAGTAAGCTCAAATACGAGCAAATCATTCATCAGTTTAGATGCTAAATGTTCTTCTTCAGTATCACTTGCTAACAAAACATTGTCTGCCCTTGGCTTGTAAAGCCGTAGTTAGAAGAAGTTTGCTGTCAGTCAGACATATGCTGGACCACCCACTCAGGAGCTTAGAGGCTTGGAAGCTAAAGTAGCATTTCTGATTCATCTCCAAAGACCTTATTCCCTTTGAGTAATGAATAACAATACATAAGAAAACTGCTTTGATGCTGATACTAGAAAACTTTGTGATTTCCATTTGACGGGAATATCATTTAACATGAAAGCTAATAAATACATGTGACCCAAACAGACTGTTTTCTCTTCCAGTGTGAGATAAATGATGCACAAATAATCAGTCAGATAACGATTTATCTTGTAGAAAGCCTAAATAAAAAGCTGAACTCTACCATAACCCTGCCACGGGGCTTTGTTTCTGCTCTCCTCACACACCGTGTGTTTTTCTTCGTAGCTCTCATCAGTCCTTCCCTCCTCTGAAGCCTCGACAATTTACTGACGCCGTCTTTCAAAAGCATTTCACGCATTCTTTGTCAAGTGAGAGGAATCCTTGGGGAGAAAGTGTCATAAAATATGACATGTGTTTGATAAGGCAGCTCCAGGAAGATGAAGACATTAGTGCAGGAAGAATCCGGTGCACCCCTCCTCAAACACAAACACAGCTTCAAATAAGCTCCTTAGCTCGGAGCGTTGTTGCTGTTTTCCCAAACGTTTGTCTCCATTTGCTTAGCAGAAAAACCCACAGCTCTGTGCAGACAAAAGTTCATTTAGAGTTCTCCATGTAGGTTTTGTACGAAAATGCTGAGGTGCCGTGCAGTCAGTGGGATCAACCTCACATCTAGAAAGAATCTCTAAACATTACATGTTGGTATCATTCGATGAACCTCAGATGTGATGGTACCACTGAACGCCAAATTATCTTGTTGCATTTTACCGTGTTGATCAGAGCTCCCGCTAACAAATGTGTTAGATGAATATTATTAATCTTTTGCTGACAAATAGGGGGACTGAATGAAGTTAATTTAATCCACATTTTCTGTCGTAATTGTTTGTCATTGACTTCTCTGTCTGTGTCCTCTTACAGGGGAGCAGGAACAGCAGCCGGTCCTCCAGTCCCAGTGTGAGGATGATGCCACCTGATAAGACCAGCAGCAGCAGAGGCTACTTCTCACCTGATGACCTCACAGGTACTCAGTCCTGCATTTCCTTTGAAGACAACTCAGTCACAGTAACATGAATGAGAAAATGTCACAATTGCATTTTAAAGAGAAATTTACAATCAACAAATGTTGTACAGTATGTATTGTTCCTTTAGTCATCATACGGTCAGTTAACCCGACAAAACTTAGTTTATGTTGCTGCAGAAGCTAAGTTCTAACAACTGGTGCACCCTAAGTAACACAATCCTATAGCTACACTGCAGCTTCCCTCCCTGTCAGTCGTCACAGCAGGGCATCTGCAGGCATCAGAAAAGTCTTAAAAGGCTTTATTAAGTCAGTCAGACTTAAGAAGGTGTTAAAGGAATTTCATTGAACTTTTGACGTACAAAGGTACAAAGGTTTTCTTGCCTGCATATATTGTGAGCATATTCTATATGTAGAGCTGGTTGACATGATGGTTCTCCAGAGGTTTAACTGAAATATCACAGATTTGACGGTGCCTTCTTGTACTGGTGATGTCTTTTAACACCAAAATCTCCATAGTATTCTAAGTATGCCATGCTATATATACCAACACCAAGGGTTTTAGTAAATCAGAACCAAAACCAGCAAGAAACCCCCCTCAGTATAGCAGAACCACTGCATCCCACCTCAATGTAGGGATCAAGGGTTCAGGTTTTCCCTTCAACTTGTCTGTGTATATACACTGAATTGTGCATGCAGGTGGCTTTTTCATAATTTCTCTGTCACTATGAAGGAAGCTTCTGAACTATAACAGTGTAAAGTGTCAGTTTTAGCAAAAACTTTTTAACTTTATTCACCCATTCTCTGTTGCTCGTGTGGGTTCACTTTATGTTAATGGACTGATTTTGTTAGAGTCAGTTCCTGCTGGGAAGTAAAAAAGTGATAGATTGTAACAGTTAATGAACCATAGGTTTTTCTCTGTTCTTTGTGAAAAATTTAAATATTCAGCGGTAAAAACTAAAGTGAAGTGGGTGAATGCTACAGAAATCCTGTCCCATTGAATGCATTCATCCACAGTAATGCAATAGAGTTTTGACTCCATCAGTGTGGTGTAGTTATACATAATTTCAGAAGAAAAGCTGACACCTGAAAGAATTCTAGAAGCACATTTGTTGCATTGAACAGCTAAAACACATGGCCAGTGTACAAAAGCTATGACTGAAAGCTGTAAAAACTACTTTCAAATTCATGCTAGTTTACGTAAAACAATAAATCCACTAATTAAATAGTTATAAAGGTTTATGCAGCGAAACAGGAAAGTTCAGTTCAGCGCTGCAGACGTTTGCTGCAATTTGCTTCTTTTCTGCACACTGTCCATTAACTGAACTCACTTTCTAAACGCATATTTCAATCCTGAGACCTTCTTGAGGCAAAATTCATACAGACCAACCTGCTTGTTCTTTGTGTGAAGAGGTTGTGACGAAAAAATGTCAAGAGAGCCGCTCTATATAGCTAGAGGATGTGGAATCTAGTGTGGTGCAGTTGCTTAGTTTTACTTTTTAGTGCTTTCTAGTGAGGAGCAGCGAAAATACTGTCAAGCACAACCCCTATAAATGTGTTTTCACTCGTTTGCTGACTTTCACCACCTGAAAAGACTGTACTCTTGAGGAGGTGTTGATCAGGTTGTTTAGTCCACATCATAGTTTACTGACAGAATTCACCGCAGCCAAAATAAACCTGCACCGGACTCCTTTCGAACAGATACGGTGTCAAGGCTTCATTCATCGCTCCATGTTCCAGGTGTCGTGGTTAAAAGACAAAAGTGAAGGTGGAATTTTACACCTCAGCTGATTGATTGATTAAATTGGGCCGCTTCCATTAGTCACCCTTTAAACACGATGACTGTAACGGCGTCAATGTCGCTGCGGCCAGATGTCGTAAATCTGTCAGGCTGCTTTATAGACACTACGTATAGTGCTGGTCAGTGATTTACAGTGGTGAGGAGGCAGTCAGGAGGTTGTTTCTCTTCAGTCATGGAAAAAAACAAGCAGTCCTTGATCTCTTTCCCTTTCTCTTCTCAGACACCAACGGCTCAGACAACTCCATTCCCATGGCTTATCTCACCCTGGATCACCAGCTGCAGGTACAACATCCAATCAGCCGTCGGCACACAAAGCACTACTGTACACACAATCTGTTTGTTGTTTAGTTTGAATGCTGTCAGGTATAAGCTGCACTGAATCAGCTTTACCTCGGCTGCAGCTCATCTCTTTGCTTTGCCAATACTAACTCCATCATGTAGGGATTATCCCTGAAAACATGATGCTACATAAACAATGGATTGAATATATATGCAGCTGACATAAATACACGAACAGACCATTTCAAAGTCAGCTAAGAACAGTGTGTTTATTTCCAGCCGCTCGCTCCTTGTCCCAACTCCAAAGAGTCCATGGCTGTGTTTGAGCAGCACTGCAAGATGGCTCAAGAATACCTGAAAGTACAAACAGAAATCGCCCTGCTGATCCAGAGGAAGTAAGTCCAGCCAGTTATGATGTGTTTAGAAGGGATTTGGTTGACATGTTTACTTGATTCAGTTCACTTCCTAAGCACACTACAACCAGGGTGAATGTTTTCTTGAATATGTGGTTTGTCTCGTGGTAAAACTAAAGCAACTTCACATGACAAATATGTTAAAGTGGAGATGCTGGCGTACAGAAAGCTGCCCGAAGCCAACGACCAAAGTTAGCAGACAAGGCATCGTGAGCTGTAAAATACGAACAAGCTGGACCAACTATGTTTGGCTGAAAGGCTCAGCTGGATATAATCTGTATTTTCTTTTAAAAGTAAATCCTCAATTGGTTGAGTATTTGTACGAATGTGTATTTGAGGATAAACATCCAAAATCATAGAATAAACAACACATCTTGCCTAATAGCCCTCACATTTAGACCAGAGGTAATCCAGCTGGTTGTCCTCTGTCCATCTACAGTTCAGTTTAATCAAAATGTAGTATTCATAAATAGCAGTCAGCTTTAAGGTTGAATAGGACTAAGACTCGACATGACGATCCATTGATTAGATGTTGGCTTATTTTAGTCTGGTTGAAAATGATGGATAGTGTGACAAAATGACAACAGTGATTGATGTCTTCTAGATCTTCGGGCTAGTTGACTGATGCGCAGCTGTCTTTGCATTGCAGGATCTTCCCTGGGGTTTTGAACATGTTTTTTTGTCTTAAGAATTTCTGTATTCCCACATAATTTTGTATTTAAGAATATTTACAGCACACTCAATGATAATGTAAGCACTGTGACCTGAAGTAACCCTTTTTGTGAGTGACCCATACCACAGCCCTGTAAAGTAATAACCACAAAATAACGTTAGTAAAACTTACAGTGAATGAATCTAGACAGGGATTTTCTCCCCACCCTTTACCAAACCATTATCGTATCAATCTTATTATCTTATTGGTCATTTTTTAATTCCTAAAGATTTATTATTATTAGTAGTAGTAGTAGTAATTGTATTGTAATTTATATTTTTAAGTGAACCTAATGTTGTTTCTCAGGCAGCAACAGCCGTTAATAACAGCAGAATCACTTTATAAACTCAATTATATTCCACTGAAAACTAATATAAATTAATATGTTGCAACCAGGAGCAATGTTTAAAGAATTTGCCACATTGTGAGATAAATAGCAAACTATGACACATATAGACTGTTTTTATTTCTGCTGCTTCATTCACTATCAGCTGTAGTTGGGTTCAATGTGGGACTTTTCTATATGTTTCTGCTTGTTGAACAGGTGGCTTAATAAATTAATGTCATTGGCTTTTAACGCGCAACAATTTCTTAAACATCATTCCCTGTGCACGAAATGTTAATTAAAGAAACCGCCGATGGTTATAAAATGAACAAAGACAATAAAAACCTGTAGAAAATCCCCCATTTACGACTCCTCCTGCCGTTTCCACAGCGTCTTAAGATGCTCTTAGCGGCTTATGAGTTTTTGTGCTTTCATTCTTCGGTTACAATGCCTTTGGGAAACTCGTTTCAAACGAAAGAAGGCTCTTAAGATGGATTTTACAATTATCTGAGCTTTTGGAGAACAGGTCCCTGGTTGGTACAGGAGGGAGTGTGCTACTACCTTCAATTTAGCATCAGTGTGAAAATAAGTGTTTGCTTGTTTAACGTTGCTTAGAGCCAGTAAAGGCAGATAGTATGTTTACAATGAGGTAAAATAATACATCCCTTTATGAAACTGAAAAAGGTAAATGAGGGAATGGTTCCAATTTTAGCTCAGTGTCAAAAATCTGCTTCCTCACTTTGTAGCATCAGAATCATTTCAGTGTAGAAGCTAGTACCATAGATATGGAAATAAAGGGAGTGAAAACAGTGTTAATGTGGCTTCCCTTTCTGTCCATGAAGGAACGAGCTCATCGCTGAGCTGGACCAAGACGAGAAGGACCAGCAGAACACGTCCCGTCTGGTGCAGGAGCACAAAAAGCTGCTGGAGGAGAACAAGAGTCTGTCCACATACTACCAGAAGTGCAAAAAACAGCTGGAGCTGATCCGAGTGCAGCAACAGAAGAGACAGGGCACATCGTGATGAGACAGAGACATATGAACTGCTACCACCACCACCCCCTCCTCCTCCTCCTTCTCCTCCTCCTCC